TGAGTCATGCTATTGCAGCTAGGAAAATAGATCTGACTTTCAGGAAAGTAAAATATCTGTACAGTTTTTAAAACATAGGATAATTTATTTATGTGAGTTGACTGTTCATTCCACAGCTATGCTCCAAGTTTACCTGCTTGGGTTAAACCAAACAAACATTTTCACAGACAAGTCAGTTTTCCTGTGTGCTGTCCAAAAGTAAAAGTCTGGCCTTCAGGGCACAGTGAATGTTGTGTGTTTTGTTTTGTTTTTCAGCCGTTGTCATTTTTATGTTCTTTATGTATATTTTGATCAATATATGCCCAAAAGCTGATGGTTATATTGTGTTCTAATCTGTAGTTACTTGTAGTTATTATGTAGTTAAATAAAAATAAAAAAACAAAAACAACAATTAAAGCACATTGTCTCTGGCGCAATAGATGTAATGTAATTGCACATTAAGTCCACTAGAGGGAGCCAGATGACAGCAGAGAATTATTGGTGCTGCCTCTGATCTCAGCTCTGCCAGTCTAGGTGTACATGCACATTTCTGGCTGGTTAGATAAATACTATTTTAATATGTACATTGTCACTTTTCTCATTAGAATCACCTTGATATTTGGTAGGCTAGCAATAGACTCTTCAGGATTCCCACAGTGCTTGACCAGATTAGATGATTGTCAAAATAACAATCCCCAACCTTTACTTGAGATAGATATTCTGTCTGATATGGCTATTCAGGTTTGGCAGCCACTAGGTTTTTGTCACATTTCTGTGATACAGATTCACATCTTTGTTCATCACTTTGTCCAGGAACTGATTTAGCTGATTATGATTATGATTATTAGGGTGATTAATGAACAAGCTGTAAGGAGGCTAAAAGAGGACTTTAGGGGCCAGGACTGGGAAGCAGTTTACAGAGAGGAAGACTTAGACAAAGCATATGAACAATTTTTAAATATATTTAAGAAAGTATATGACAGGAACTGTCCTCGTAAGCAGTATAAAAACAAAAGGAATTACAGTGGGAAACCGTGGATGAGTAAAGGATTACAGAATGCATGTAAAAAGAAGAATGCGTTATATAAGGAATTCATAAAGGACAGATCAAAGAAGGCGGAAGAAAAATATAAGTCATATAAGAACAAATTAATTGAGGTTTTGAGGAGATGTAAGAAACTATATTACTCTAAAGTATTAGAGGATAATAAAAATAACATGAGAGGTACTTGGAATATATTAAATAAATTGATTAGAAACAGTTCCAGCAAGAGTAACTACCCTCAATATTTTTTGGATAATGACACACCGGTCAGTAGACTAGAGGATGCAGTAGATAAGTTTAATAGGTTT